AACCATGAGTCTAGAAGCTGAGAACTGCCAGGCCTGACAGCCAGCAAGGAAACAGGACCTCACTCCTACAACCATAAGGATTCTGCCACCAACCTGAATGAGCAAAGAAATGGATTTTCCCCTGGAACAGAACATGGCCCTATCAATAGCTTGGTCTTGACCTTATGAGACTCTAAACAGAGAAACCAGCTGATCTGATGGATTTCTGACCTATGGAAACTGTGTGATAATTAACTTGTGTAGTTTTAAGCCTTTAATTTGTAGTTGTCTGTTACGGCAGCAAAAGAAAACTAATACAGCACTGCCACACAACTCTGTACTTGTCAAAGCCACTAGGATAGAGCTATATCCCCAAAAAAGTGATTTTACTGTATATAAATTTAAAATGAAAATTGTTTAATGTTCTTGCTTTTAAAGACCATTACCAATGACAAAAAGAAAAATTTTAGCCATATTTCTTCACTTCTTTAGTCCTTAATCTCCACAGTAACTCCAACCTGGAATTTGCTCTCTGTCCTGGTCCTTTCTTGCCCATCTACTGCCCACAACTAATCTAAGTTCCTGCAGAGTAAGGCCACTTTCTATGCCACTGACCAGCTCAGAGCTCATGGCTGATGTCAAATAGGTCAGAACTTACTGCTTTCCTAGGACTTTGAACAGGAGGAAAGTCCCAAATGAGGAAACTGAAATGTAAAAGTTGATTTCAAAGAACCTTACTGGGAATTCTCCAAGACAGAGAGTTTCTATCAATACAGATACATCAAAACCAATAGTCAGAGACCAGAGTATTGGCTGACTCACCAGGCCTTTTAGCAGCTAATGGAGGAGTACTTCGAGAAATGCTATAAATCCAACATTTTTCCTCTGAAGAATTAATTTATGTGGAGTCCCTTTTCTAATCACTAGACCATCCCCACCCGCTACTTCCAGCTCACCACCACTGTTAATAGCTTTCCTAATTTTTAACAAAGCTGAAGGTAGTGCTTTCCCAATTTTCTTATGGTATTCTGCTATCTTACCAGGCCTGCTCAAAGGAATAGCATTTCTCTTTAAAACTGGTTTTTTAACTACTCTCTGCAGCCTACAGCCAATTAAGAGCCCATGAAGTAAGTTAAATATACCAAAGTGAAGATTTCTAGATTCAACAAAGAGATCAATAAATACTTATTAAGTGCTTCCTGTGGGCAAAGCCCTGGGAAGTATAAAGAAGCAAAACACAGATGGTCCTTATTTCTGCACATGGCTTACAATGTCATTAGACAATGATAAAACTAATAGCAATCTACGACGACAAAGTTACAAGATCATATACAAAATAATGCTACAGGGGTTCAGGTGCCTGGGTGGCTCAGTCGTTAAGCGTCTGCCTTCGGCTCAGGTCATGATCCCAGGCTCCTGGGATCGAGTCCCACATTGAGCTCCCTGCTGGGCAGGAAGCCTGCTTCTCCCTCTCCCGCTCCCCCTGCTTGTGTTCCTGCTCTCGCTATCTCTCTCTCTGTCAAATAAATAAATATTTAAAAAATAATAATAATAATGCTACAGGGGTTCAAAGTGGGGAGAGACTGTGGCGGGGGTGCTCAAAGAAAGAAAGCTTTGCCAGGAGCTGGAAAAAAAATGCAAGAGTGGTGCAGAGGATTCCTCCAAGACAGGACATTTTCTTAAAAAGACAAATCTAGAAACTCCACCTGCAAAGTCTCCCTCTTAGCATATATCTCCATAAAAATTGAACAGAACTTTAAAGAAAAAAAAATGACCCCAGTTTCAAAAAAAAAAAAAAAAGAATTTTGGGATTCTGAATTATTTAGACTAATAGCTAACTTCACAGAAATTCATTTTTTACATGTATCCATTGGGAGTGAAGATGACCGACATTTCTGGATAGTTCTGGCCTTCTGTGGTCATCCCCGCAATCTGCCCCTCTACAAGCAAGGAAAGAAATGCCCACCTAAGGCAGTCTCCACCTGTAACGGAACCATATGGGCTGGTTGCAACTGAATTGACATGGGAGCCCTTCCGCTCAGTGTACAAAATATGATACAGGCTGCCAGAATGGTCATTTCCTTTAGTTACACATTATTAGTTAGAAATAGGAATGGTCCTAGCACATGCCAACCCCAGTCCCAACATCTTCAGCATCTGACAGTCTTCTGTTCTGTACGCACTCTCACCAAAAGAGGTGTAAAACAATGTTCACAGCAGCTCTGTCCATATTAACCCCAAAGTGGAAACTAACCAAATGTCTGCCAGCAGCTGACGGATGAATAAATTGTGGTACATTCATACAATGGGATGCTACAGAACACGGAGGATGAACAACCTGCGGCTACACACTACAGCGTGGGTCAATTTCACAAGCATGATGTTGCCTGCAAGAAGCCACACACAAAAGCAAACATACTATAGGGTTTTATGTACATAAAGTTTATTTTTAAAAAAATAAGCTAATCTATGGCATTAGAAGTCAGAAGAATGGTTACTCTAAGGCAAAGGGAGCTAGTGACTGGGAGGGACCCTAATGGGACTTCCCCAAAATGTCTGTTTCTTAGTCTAACAAGTGGTTACAAGGGAGTGGTTACCTAATAAAAGCTTTATTAAGCTGTACCCTATGATAACACTTTTCTATATGAATGCTTTATTTCAATGAAAAAAAACTTAAAATTCAAAGCTGTTGTATTAAAGGATTATAGTAACATAATCAAAATTTTCACTTTACAGTTGAAGAGTTACATGTGTATTCACATCCACATTTTTTTTGTTTAAATTACTTATTTTATATAGTGACTTTGTTTTAATGTATACTTAGGTGAGAAATAATCGTTCTTAGGATCTCTGCCTTGACACAGATCGAAGAGGATGATTTATTACTCTATTTTATTAGTCTTGGTGTATCACTTTTAGAAGACTGAGAAAGAATAGGAAGAGGAGGAGGGGAGAAAGGGGGAGGAGGAAGAAGGAGGAGGGGTAGGGGAAGGGACAGCGGCAGGGGAAGGAGAAGGAGAGGAAGAAGAAGAAGAAGAAACAACCTCTCTAGTCTTTTCTTTAAAACCTCTGGGGGAGAAAAATAGGGTCACCAGAACACGTTCTAGTGCTGCATAACTATTTGTTTAAAAATTTGTTACAAGGTAAGGGGCAGGGACTAGATGTCCCCAGTAACTCCCACTCTATCTAAACCACAGCCGGGCTCAGGAAATAGCACATCAGACTGTAGGCTGATCTCAGCTGAGAGGTGTAACCCAAACAAGCTACTATCTGCCCCATGTGCTGGCTGCTGATCCCATATCTGCCATTAAGTAGAGAATTTTCCTCCTCATCAATAATTGTAGCATACATCTTCTCGTCAAATTAACACTGAGCAGAGAGAAAAGCCCTCTGCCCTGCCCTCATAGGTCAGCTCTTTGAATAGACACCAATCCAGATAGCATTTGGAGGTCATGGTTTCCCCGATGACTGTGAAAATGGGGAGGGGAGAAGAGGTCGTCAAGAGGAGCTGCCTTTCTAAGGGGGGTACGAGATGAAGCCCCTGAGCAAAGGCCAGAGCCTTGCCTCCATTACCCTTTCGCGGAGAGCACCCGCCTACCATTCTGCTAGCACCTGCTAGTCCCCTGGGCCATTCGCAGAGACTGCGGCACAACCTTGGTGAAGGAAGATGCTGGGGGCTGCTTGGGCCGGCAAACGTCAGCCTCTGGTGCTTGAGAAAGCCTTGGCAGACACCGGCAGGGACCCCCCCGATAAACTGTCACCTGTCAATCACTTGACCTAAATACTCTAGCCACTGGGGGAATCGGAGGGAGGGGGTTAGCCGGAGCATGCTCAGTAATCGGGATGACATCACTTAATCAATGCCGGGGACGGGAAGGCTGCATCAGCAGCCTCGAGCGGGCTGCCAGGAATATGTCAGCGGGAATCGGGAGGCTCCCATTAACTCGGTCCCTCCCCACGCGGCTCGCATACAAAGAGGGCACCGTCAGCTACACACGCTGGGGACAACGGAGGGTGAAAGGGCGGGGGGAAAGGCTGGTTTATTTCATTGACATACTGCTTTAAGAACTAAAACCCAATGGTATTCCCTGCCCCCACCGGCAGCCCGGGCTGCAGAAAGGGAGCCAAGGGGGGGGGAGGGGAAGAAGGGAGGAAGGGAAAGGTAGGAAGGGAGATCGGGGGCGGGAAGCGGGGGCGTTGATCCAACCACACAAAGTAACTTCTACTCCTGGCAGAGAGGGACTATTTGGCTGCGCTCTAGGCCCTTAGCCCCACAGATGTGGGCACACATCTCCACCCAGGGCGAAGAACATCCGACGGTCTGTGGACACCAGGTGGGAGGTCGCCTCACTGGGGAGGGGTCAGACCCGGAGACCACATCCAGGGCAGCCTGGGTTGAGAGGAAGCAGGAGACACACCAGGCCTTCCCGGGGACACCAAGGCCACCAGGGTTCCCCACACCCCCCTCCTTCTGCACGCAGGGCAAGGTGAAACACCGTGGAGAGCCGCGTCTACACGGCGTGGGAGCTCCCAGCCGAGGCTAGGATTTTTCCAGTACCTTTTTTTTTCTTTTCCTTTTGCTAAGGTCGTGAGAACAGGTAAAGTGTTCGATAAATCGAACTGATGCCTGGAATCATTTGTGGGCTACAGAGATCATACTCTAAGGGGAGCCTGGGCACCCCGCTTAAGGATAACACGAGCACTCTACCCACGCGCCGTGGCCAAGGCGGGGAACAATAGGCCCACGACGGCCCCCACCCCGAGAACAATGGCGGCGCCGAACCCTTCCTCGCCCCCCACCTCTACTCTCGCCACCTGGGCCCGCCCCGCCGCCCCCAGTCACCCCTCCACCGCCCGGGAGCGAACTATAGGGAGTGGGGGAGGGGGTTTCTCTTCTAGTCTACGCGAGAAGGCAGCCCTGTGGGGGATGTCCGAAGGGGCGGCCGAACACCTCTGCGGTCTGGGGCGTTCGGGCGCCCGGCTGCGGCGCGAAGCAGCAGGGGAAACCACACGTCCCGGACACTTACCCCAATCACCACGGTCTCATCGCCTTTAAATTTGGGGATGAATTTGTCCCCTCGGAGAATCTCCGCTTCGTTGAGGGGCCGGAACCGGCACATCACTTTGATGCTGCATTCAGCTGGATCCGCCATCTCGGCCGGCGGCAGGGAGGGGGCGCGGGGATGGGTGGGGGGCCGGGGCTCAGCAGGACGTGGGAGGAGGCCACGAACCGCACCGCCTGCAGTGAGGCCGCCTCCTGCAGCCTCCGACGAAGCTTCTCAGCAGGTCATCGCGAACTCGGCGGGCTGGGCAGCTCGGGCCGCTCCCAGACCGGGTAGGCTTCTATCAGCCTCCAGCCCCTCCGGCTGCAGACCTGCCTTCCCTGGCCTTGCCCTAGCCCGGCGCGGCGCTCCGGGCCCACCTGCCCGCGACCACGCGGCCGGCGGACGAGGCGATGCGCAGGGAGCAAGCCTCGCCCGGCTCAGACCTCCCGGGCTCCTGCGCGCTCAGCCATCCTGCATCAGCACCACCGCGCTCGACCGCCTCCCCGGCCCGCCCCTTCGCCCCGCCTACCTCCGGCTCGCCCCGGGACGGTGACGTCACTGCGGAGATCCGCCCCGCCCTCGCCCCGGCTCGAGAGTGGAGCATCCCGGGACTTGTAGTCTCTGCCTGCTGGTGGAAGGACAAGGCTACTACTTACAGTTGGCTTTTGGGGACAGCGGTGGTACCCCAGGTGCCACCTCCGAAAGCCTGCAGTTCTGGTCTAGCTGCCCAGGTCAGGAACAGGGTGGAGGTCATATCCAGCATTCCCAGTTAAAATCTCTATATAAACCAGATCTATATCATCTCTACATCTTCTCATGATCTCCAAGGAGAAGCCCTCAAGACAATGTCCAGCAAAAACGTTATGGAGCATTTCTCTGTGCTGAACGGTTTTGTAAGAGTTGTGAGGAAATCAAGGGGAAAATGAGATTTGCATGAATATTTGAAGCCATCATTCCCCAAAATGCCTGCACAAACCAGTTCACAACATATTTTGGGTCAGGGACTGCTTTAATATCTGATGAAAGCTGAGAACATTTTCCATAACAAAAACCAAAAACAAATAAACTATACATGCCCATAGATTTTTCACACTATTTCATTGGATTTGGGGACAAGTGAAGCCTGCCTGTGGCTGCCTGGTTAAGAACCTCTTAATTACTATTAATAATAGTGAGGTTTACAGAACCTCTGCCCAATGCCTACTTAGAACCTATAGAATGAACAGAATATATATAGGATCAAGTTCTAAAGTCCTTTGCATAATATAGGCCCCATGATCAGATTTTTGCCTACTTATTGGCCTCATTTCCCACGCTTCTTGTCTTAATGTTTACACATTGACAAATACCAAACTACTTGTGGCTTCCTCCGTTCACCTCTTGCTCTGCTTGTTCTGATACTTTGTTTAAGCCATTTGCTCTCTAGGGGTCACCCATTCGTGCCTATTACTAAGTAAGTATATTAAATAAGGCTCACAGAGTAAAAAGTAATAGAAACCCAACTGGAGCCACTGTGGCAAAAGGAGAATTTATCAGAAGAATCCAGATTATCCTGCTTATTCTAAAAAATGATTAAAGAGTCAGGGAACAGGCAGGCTACCAAGACACTCTATCTCTTGTCCCTGTTTCCTCTTTGTATTGGCCTCATTCTTTCGCACTCCAGATCATCCCTCCCAAATGTCAGGAAACCCAGCTGCCAAGAGTCCCTGGGATTCACCCTTCAATTTCTACCACTAGATAAGTTTAGATGTTTGCTTGGACTTTTGGTTTGGAAAAAAAAAAAAAAACTAATCTATGATTGGCATGGGCTTAGGTGTCTAGCCCTAGACCACTCAATCAGAGTCAGGAACTTTGTAAGATCTTTGAGGAATACCATGGTGGGAAGGTTCCCAAAAGAAGAGGGATGCTATTCCCAGAAAAAGAACATGGTGCGGGGCTGGCCAAACAATTAGATGTCCACTCTCCCTTTCCAGTGCTACCTTTTCCTTTTTGATTCAACTCAACCCTCCCTCCTTAGGAAGGCTTCCCTGACTTACTAAACATCCACAAAGGGTAGGTGTCCTCCTTGTTGTCCTCATAATCTTCTATGTACATCTCTATCACTACACTCTCATGGGCAATGATTTCTGCCTCATCTTTATGTCTCTAGCATCTAGTGCATAGTAGGCAGAATGTTGAATAAGGAATCGAACCTAGAAGGAAGCTCCACTTGAATAAGAATCCCAGCCCTGCCACTTACTAGATGTGGGAGCCACAGCAAGGTATTTAATTTAAGACTCAATTTTATCTCTGTCATTGGAATAATAAACATCTCATAGAGGTTTGGAGGAAATTAGAAGAAATAATACTTTTAAAGCACCTAGCATGGTGCCTGACATGCACATAGTATAAACCCTTGAATGTTAGTTGTTGTTGTTGTTGTTGTTGTTGTTGTTGCCTGGGCTTAAAAAAATTGAAGAGATGCCCAAGCACAGAAAAAAAAAGAGAAAATAGATAAACTGAACCACATCAAAATAATACACTTTTGTGTATCAAAGGACACTATTAACAGAGTGAAAAGGCAACTCACAGAATGGAAGAAAATACTTGTAAATCACATATTGTAAATCATATTAAGGGGTATCTAGACTATATAAAGAACTACTACAAATCGGGAGCCTGGGTGGCTCAGTCGTTAAGTGTCTGCCTTCAGCTCAGGTCATGATCCCAAGGTCCTGGGATCGAGCCCCGCATCGGGCTCCCTGCTCAGTGGGGAGCCTGCTTCTCTCTCTCCCACTCCCCTGCTTGTGTTCCCTCTCTCGCTGTGTCTCTCCCTGTAAAATAAATAAATAAAATCTTAAAAAAAAAAAGAACTACTACAAATCAACAATAAAAGAAAATATGATTTTAAAATGGGCAAAGGACTTTTAATAGGTATTTCTCCAAAGAAGATAAGCCAATAAGCACAGGAAATGATGCTCAATATCACTAATCTTACAGAAATGCAAGTCAAAACCACAATGAGATACCACATCACATCCATTAGAAAGGCTGTTATAGAACACCACCAACAAAAACAGAAAATAAGTGTTAAAGAAGATGTGGGGAAATTGAAACCCTTGTGCACTGTTGGTGGGAACATAAAATTGTGCAGACACTATGGAACACAGTTTAACAGCTCCTCAAAGAATTAAAAATAGATTAGCATATGATCCAGCAATTCTACTTCTGCATATATATATTCCAAAGAATTGAAATCAGGGACTCAGATATTTGTACACCCATGTTCATAGCAGTATTATTCTCAATAACTATTGTGGTATATTTTACCATAATTTTAAAAAGATAGAAACCCCTGTGTACTGTTGGTATGAAGGTAAATTGGTGCAACCACTATGGAAAACAGTATAGAGGTCCTTCAAAAAAAATTAAAAATAGAACTACCATATGATCCAGCAATCCCACTTCTGGGTATATCTGAAGGAAATGAAATCACTGTCTCAAAAAGATCTATGTACTCCTATGCTCATTGCAGCATTATTTACAATAGCCAAGATATGGAAACAACTCAAGTGCCCATCAACAAATGAATGAGTAAAGAACACACACACACACACACACACACGTGAATATTATTCAGCCATAAAAAAGGAAATACTGCCATTTGCAACAACATGAATGGACCTTGATGGCATTATGTTAAGTGACATAAGTCAGACAGAGAAAGAGAGCTATTATATGATCTCACTTACATGTGGAATCTAAACAAACAAACAAAAACGAACTCAGTGACATAGTGAACAGGTTGGTGGTTGCCAGAGGCATGGGGTGGGGGTGGGGGAATCAGAAGAAGGGGGTCAAAAGTACAAACCTCCACTTATAAGATAAGTAAGTTCTAGGGATGTAATGTACAACATGGTAATGAGAGTTGACAATACTGTATTGCCTATCTAAAAGTTGCTAAGAGAATAAAGCTCTCATCACAAGAAAAAAAATTTGTCACTATGTATGGGGACAGATGTTAACTTATTGTGGTGATCACTTCACAATATATACATATATCAAATCGTTATGTTGTGTACCTGAAATTAATACAATATGTCAATTGTATCTCAATTTCTAAAAATATATAACATCAAAAGAACAAGAAATTGACCTTTGAAAACCTTCCTGAACAGCTCTAGCCCACAGGGCTCTCTGCTTCTGCACCTGAGCACTTGCTGCCTTGAAATGACATTCCTATTATTGTCTGGTACCATTCTCTAGTGTTTTCCATTTCACAATTCTTTCTGTTAAATGTCTTGTGTGTGTCTTGCTCCTGCATCTATGTTGTGGGGATCGTGCATTATTTACATGCTTGATAGGTATTTTCTGAATGATCAATCCATGTCCATTATGATCATGATAATGGCAAGGACAAATGAATAAATATATGAACCTGAAAATAAGTTGCATTGTAGATGGAGCCTTGGGCTCAGGACCTACATTTTTCATTCCTGTTCTTCTGCTAATGAGTTCTATAACTTTGGAAAATGTATTCAGCTTCTCTGAATGATTTTTTTTTAACCCCATCTGTTGATATGGCACTAAAAATATTACCTATTCTAAATAAGTGAGACTTAAAAGAGAGATCTATGAGAAAATGGTTTGGAAGTAAAGACGGAGAGATTGTGAAGAGATTGGGGGAATCACCCCTCCCGAGAAAACGTGAGAAAAAGAAAAAAAAAAGATATCTATTAATATAAAGTTAATTATTCCAAGGCTTGGCATGATGCCAGGCACAAAGTAGCAACTCAGTAAATGTCTTTCATGCATTCATATATTATTCATTCATTCATTCAAAAATGTGAATTTTCCATTACAGAAATGAATTCCCCAAGGACCCTAGTGGATGAATCGTTTGCCTAAGGGAATGATTAAGTCCTGCTGCCCTGATGTTGGTTCCTGCTTAAATTAACAAGTGTGGTATGCTCTTCCAGGACAGTTACCCACTCCACTCCTCTCTTTCCTGCCCTGGCAAGGTCTTCCCCAAGCACGGATTTACGGGTCCTTGGAAGGTAGTTAGCCAACTCACTGGGTAGCACAGGGTAAGGGCCTCAAACAGACTTCCCTAGCCACAATTTCATCCA